AGATGAGCTATTGAAAGTTAGACAGTTGTGTCCATTTAATTGAAAAAAAGTATGACAGTGACACAATGACATTCGCATTTATTATATATATATATATATATATATATATATATATATATATATATATATATATATATCGAGGTTCTCGACAAAATCAAGAGACGAATATGCAATGTGATAGGTCTTGATCTGGCATCTCGTCTATAGTCACTTTCTCACAGACGTGATGTAGCTTCCCTTTGTCTTTTCCACAAATATTCTATGGCAACTCCTCTGACGAGATATTTTTACTGGTGCCCCAAATGCATGGATTTAAGCGTGCTACTAGGTTGGCATCTGGGCCCAATCCTTTCACTGTCGAAACAGTTAAATATAACCGCCTTTTCTACTCCAATAGCTTCTTCTATCGCACTTCCAGACAGTGAAACTCCCTTCCTCTTACTTGCTTCCCTGATAGCTATAATCTTCAAATATTCAGTCTTCTGATGCCTTGATCCCGATTCCCGTCTTTCTCTATATCCTTTCCACAAACACCGCTCTTTACTCCTTACTCTTGCTCTCACTCTCTGTAATCCTTTGCGAGCTAGTACCACCCTGCCTTGCTTGGGGTAAAATGCTTAAAAAAAAACCCTTCTAGATAAGATAGTAAAAGAAAGTTCAGAAAAAATGGGCTGACCATTAACTGTCAGACGATAATATCTGGCAAGGGTTTTAACAGAGGATGCAAAATGTGACACCGAAATCCGAACACACAATGGACTAGCGAAAGATGCATTCGAAAAGCTAAGAAAAGTGCTGAAAAAATGTCATTGAAATATAGAAAAGAATGGTAGCTTGCTATGTTAGACACCCTATTATATGATAAGGAATGCTAGACAATCTCTCCACAGACGAAGAGAAAACTGAAATGTAGTTCAACAGAAGGATACTGAGAATTCCACAGACGGGGCGAGTAACTAACTTTATCCTAAGTTAATTTATTTCGGGACAAATACATTTAGTATAAATAAACAAGCAGATTGGAAAATAAATGAAAATTAAAATAAAGAGTGGGTGTGTAATAACAGCCTGTATGTTGAAAGAAAGGAAACGTTGAGTAACCAACCCCCGCCGCAGGAGCTTCTATCAATGTTTAGTAAAAAAAAAGGGGGTAGTAAAAAGACAAACGTTGCTTAGACCTACAAATAATTGGAAGTTGTGGAGAGCCATGATCGCCCACCTACTCAAGGGATATGGCACTAAAAAGTAGATTCACCATTGTCGGGGAGTTTACAGTGATCCCTCGTTTATCGCGGTAGTTTGGTTCCGAGACTGGCCGCGATAACTGAATTTCCGCGAAGTAGGGACGCCATATTTACAGTATTTATTTAACGTGTATTTGAACTTTTAAAACCCTCCCTGTACTGTTAACAACCCACCCATTACAGTACTCTATTAATAACAAGGACTACTGTTAAGCAATAACACTTCAGATTTAAAAAAAAAAAAAGATTGTTACTGTATTCAACACGATAGAAGTTGAAGTAGAATTTGAATGATGATGGTGATGAATTTGCTGCGCAGTAGAAATGATGATGATGAAGCTGATGATGACTTCTTCTGTGCAGCCGATAATTGTATTTTACGCCTCTTCAGACGGCGGTGTCCTTTCTATTGCTATTTTACGCTTGTTTTGTTGTTCCTAGACCAGGAAATAATATTTATTGTTAATATTTTAATGGGTTTAATCAAAAATTTTATGTGTTCATATATCGCGATTTTTCTAGAATTTTCCAGAAACTCCGCGATATATTTTCCATATATATATTTTAAAAATCCACGAAGTCGTGAATCCGCGATAGTAGAACAACGAATTAGCGAGGGATCACTGTAAATTGTCTGGATTAGCTAAACAAAAATGTTAGAGAATTTCCATATCAGGAACCAACACAGTAATAGGAAAACGAGACAAGAACGACTTCGGTTATTCGTATCCTGTTTTTCGTCGGATCCTGGCGGGAAATGAAGAAATATATTTAAAATCACCCGAATATCTTTTATTTTCTAAACTAAATCCATTTTAATACTTCCTCTCAGGAAAGCATTTTTGAGAATTTAGAAAACCTTAACTCAAGGCTTGATAAAAACGATGATAAAACCATTTCAATTATTGCGATGTGCAAAACGATCTTAAGTTCGTCGTTAACGGAAGAAAAAAATGGCTTGTTTTCAATAATGTGTGAAAAAAATGGCTTGTTTTCATAATGTGTGACGTTATTTGTTTACATTTGATACGCCATGAGCAGTTATTAATGTACGTGAGAGATTCATGGAAAGTTGAAGTTTATAAGCAGTAAATTCGACGTTGTCAACCGAACGATCCTTTGTGGCCGAGAGGTTAGGCACGTCAAGCTAAATGACGGTTCCGTATAGGATGCAGGTTCGAATCCTGTCGAAGGACGAATATTTTCTATCAAAATTTCTCGGACATTCAGGCCGGTAAATGTTATTTAATACTGTTTATTATAAACAGAGCATTTACTTAAAATACTTGTATCTATAAAAAGAATGTTAAACATAAAAATGTCTTTATATATCTATGGTTCTCTTCGTAATTCTTCCGCACCCTATCCCTGTAACCACTTGTGTCTTAGTGGCTTTATTGCCTTGCATTGGGTAATACCGATTTAAAAAAAATAATTTCCTTGTTTTTATGCAAAGAATATAAATTTGAACTATAGCTTAATCTCGCCAAAATTTTGTTACTCAAATTCTCAATTCAAACACAGGGGTGTCCTGGGTATGACGATAAACTACATTCGGCATTCTGATAGGAAGGTTTTGAGGAGCATGAGACCCCCTCTTAATTGGTGTTGTCTCCAGGTCCACCCCGACCCGACCCGGGGTAGTAGCGCTTGTGAGAGTTCCATCTATTGGAAAATTGTTAGCCCCAAAACTGGGTTCAAATCACTATGAAAATTAAAAAATACATTTTTATAGTAAAAATACTCGCAATCCATTTTCATAGTAGAAAATAGTACCAGCAATACATTTTTGTAAAAGAAATTACTAATGGTCTCAAGAAAATTAAATTTCAGTATTAAATGACCCATAAGGATGTTGATATGCCGATAAACAAGCAAAAAGCAAACAAACACAATGGTTTCAGTGATATCCAGCTTAGGGAATTAGCGGCTGAAAAACAGGCAAAAATTGACGCATTTTGTTTTCATAAAAATGAAAAAAACTAAACTGGACAAAACCTTAATCATCATCATAAAAAATTATTTAATGATATAAATATTAAATTTATTTCAGAAAATTACTTTTCTCTTCATTCGATAATTACGGTATTCAGTTATCCGGAATTTTCACTTACCCGAACATATTTTTTCGACACCTTTCCCAGGGTTTCCGTATAACTGAGAAATAGTCTTTACTTACCATTGTTCTCTATCGAATTCTGAGTAAAAAAAAAGAAGAAATTATGAAATATTTATTTCAATTAAGCGTTTTACTTACAACGATTACTTAGCTACCGACTGTTCTCAGTGGCCAAGTTGGTTAATGCGTGACAGGCTTAACGTCAATTCACTCTGCCCTGAGAGACGCAGGTTCATTTCCCGCTGAAGAGCGCAAATTTTTGTTTAATACGATTTCTCGAATATTCAGGCCGGTAGACGAAAATAAATAAATATACTGTTTAATAAATAAACTGCGCGTCTACTCAAATACGAGTATCCACTAAAAATACTGTTTAAGATGATACAAATATGTTGGATTAATAAAGAAAATACTTAATTAAATGTTAAAACGATCCTAATTGGTAATAAGTCACAGATGACTATAAAAAAGACAATGTTGATTATTTACGGATAATTTGTTTAAATAATGCCCTGACTATTGTTTGCATCATGTAACAACAATTGTAAGTAACCAAGTCATCATTTTAAGTTTTCTGAATATCGGTGGCAAGAAAAAAAAAACAAAAAAAAACAAAACGTAGGGGGTAATATTGTCGATTTATGGAGGCTTCCTGTAAACTTGCTTCTCAATGATAATCAACAGGAATCCCTGATATGAATTTGTAAATTGCAATAATGTTACGGCTGCTTTATTTGTGTTCAAAAAATCATTGGAAAGACAGAATAATTTTTTTCATAAATGTCACGTTAAAAAAAAAAAATATATGAAAAAAAATATTTCAAGGCTGTTATTGCTTAGCGTCAGATGGAGTTGGAAAGCTGCCAATTCTGGGAATGGCATGAAACGACTCTGGGAATGGCGTACTGCTGGGAAGCACAATTTGGTGATTTACCCTAAAAGACGCAGTAGGCACGAGGCTGGACGATTCGTTGCCAACCAAATGGAATTTAATCATTAAAAAGGCTAAGTCTTCATTATCATTATTATTATTATTATTATTATTTAGATATGTGGAAAAATAAAATCCAATTGAGAACGGATATTGGAATTGATCTGAAAATATATAGGAAATAGTGACACACATACATGATAGAAAGCAAATTTATAAAAAAAAAGAAAAAACTGATCTTTGTGGATATTGAAAATTTAGATTAAGTGTTTGTTTTTTGGGTTTTTTTTCTACTGTTTTAATCTCGTCTAATATCAAGGTGAATTCCTTGGGAACGTGACACCGGGCAAAGTCCCAGAATACGCGGACCAAATAGACTAGCGAGAATGCAATAATCTTGGCTGGCAATCACAAACAGTTTGTCACATAAAGATCAAACACTCAAATCGAATAAGAGAAGAGAAAGTTTCTTAATTATTGCTTGACTATCGTGGCTCTGAATACTATCAGAATATGAACAAACTGATATATATATATATATATATATATATATATATATATATATATATATATATATATATTGATAGATAGATAGATAGATAGATAGATAGATAGATAGAGATAGATAGATAGATAGATAGATAAGTAGATAGAATATGAGCAAACCTAGACACATCGATAGATCGATAAATAGATATGAACATACTTATATAGATATATAGATAGATAGAATATTAGCAAACTGAGATAGAAAATGAGCAAATTGAGATAGATATATAGATAGATAGATATGAACAGAGATAGATAGATAGATAGATAGATAGATAGATAGATATGAGCAGAGATTAGATAGATCGAGTCTCACATTATTACACATTTCATTTTAATCAACATATAAAATAAATACATTTTTGGATCTATGGGTTTATTTTATGCGCATTTATAATGAAAACCGGCTCGTTCTGCGCAGATGAAATTCAAAGTTATCTGCATTGAAATATCCTACATTCCGAAATCTCAAATTGGTAAAGACGTAGTGAGATTGAAGTTCAAAACTCGTGAGTCTGACTTGAATAGAATTTCTTAACTTTAAATCTTGCAAAAGCTAAGACAAGGCCGAAAAATATCAAAACATTAATCGGCAGGTACCATAGTATTGTGAATAAGTTCGTTGAAGTTTCTGGATTCTGATTCAAGTATGTTAAAGACAAGTTTAGGGATTTGTCCTGCCAATCAAGAGAGAAATTGTATCCAACTTTGCCAAACTATTAAAACTTTAGAGTATATGACACCGAGGAAATATCGACAAGTACAAAATACCGAGTCTCAAGAGGCAAAATATGTGAAACCGTTCGCTAGACCTCTTTAAAGGACAGCCTTAAAAAATGAAATTTGGAATGTAGAAGTCAAATGACTTGCCTGCTAACATGGCTGCCTTCTTGTATCTCTTTGTAAAGGCAAGCCAGCTAATTCTACCTCATTTATAGGAGAGTACCTAATGCAGCAGGTGGGTTAGACCATTTGGCTGGAATGGACCTGAAGACCGATTCAATGAAGTGAATTATTTTGTGTTTACAGATTTGATAAAATGGATGATTTTATATTATTTACATCATTCGGACTATTATCCTCATCTTCGCCATATTTATTACAACGTTTCTGTCGTTGTACGCTCCGGCTTTCTTCAGGCGGTTGGAATGTCGAACTGAACCCTTTATTATTTCCACATTCCAACCACCTGAAGAAGGCCGGAGTTTACAACGGCCGAAACGTTGTAATAAATATGGCGACAAAGATGAGGACAACAGTCCGAATAATGTAAATAGTGTACATAATATCTCATATCAGAAATATAGATGGATGATTTTTATCTATTTTACTGATAATAAATAAATACAAAATAATTTCATTCAATTTATATTTGGTTTGAAATATAGTAAATTTTGATATTAAATTCAATCTACTAGTGTAGGCTTGATAGTCCGTATGCTGTCAAAAAAGGAGTGATGCTAGACCTATGAAATCTTGCATGCATTAATTTCAACTCTTCTTATTAATAACTGCATTATTTATTTCCAAGTAAATTTATATCTGACGGTTCAAAGAAGACTGTTTATCCTGTTGGTCAAAGAATCATCAACAGAAAATATGACGTCATCATCACAGACAGGTGTTTTTTTCATGTTGGGGAACAGATGATAGTCAAGTCAGGAAAATAAGGAGGGTGATCAACCAGTTCAAAGCTACAGTCACCTAAAACCGCCATTGAAACCAAGGACATGTGTGCGGGAACATTGTCATGATAAAAAAAACTTTCTTCAGTTTTATTGGGTGTTTGATTTTGATAGCCTTTCGTAACTACCTCAACAAGTTAGCATAGTACGCGTCATTGACGGTTGGCATAGTACTATCATATCATAGTACTATCATATCATAGTACTATCATATCATAGTACTATATATCAAAGTATTATATATCAAATATCTATAGTACTACATCAACAAGTTAGCATAGTACGCACCATTGACAGTTGGCATAGTACTATGTACTGATAGCCAATGAACACAATGCCTTCCGCATCCCAAAAAACAGAGGCTATTACCTTCCTTGTAGACGAAACGACCATGACAGTTGTGGAGGGGAGTCTCCTATGCATGGATGGTCTCTTTGTATCTGGCTGAAGATGATGAACCCAACATTCATCCTGGGTTAGAAAATATTCAGTGAAACCAGTTGGATCTGCCTCAAACAATGTCAAATTTTTCCGTGATGTGATCACCCTGGTACACTTTTGATCAGGTGTCAAAGGACGTGGCACCCAACGTGCAGAAACCGTCATCATGCAAAACTTGATTGTGCAGAATATTCTCAACTCCCTCACGGGTTATGCTAATAGTAGTGACTATTTGATTCATCGTCAATCGTCTGTCATCTGTTACCATGTGGGGAACAACGTTTTCCTCGATGGTGGCAGGTGCAACACGTATTGGGTCATTTTTAAAACTCCCCCTTCCCCTCCTAAATTCAGCTGCCCACATTTGCACTGTTGATAAAGCTGGAGCATCATCCCTTAATTTAGCAAGCATGTCAGCATTAATGTCATTGGGGTCTAAACTTTTATAAGGGTACTTGATAACGTCCATTTTCAAGAGAAGTTACTTTTGAAGTTTTCTCTGAACAGTCGAATGTCAGTTTACCTGGAAAGAAACAACGCAATTATTAATAAGAGTTGGATGTTTCACGGCTTTAGCAATCCTCCATCATAGTCAGCCTATGAAATCTTCAGCCCACTCTCGTATTAGCTTGGAATTTAAATTAAAATAAATGCTTCAGGAAATTTCAGTTTTAAAATGGGTTTTAAATCTGGGGTATAGCTTTTGTTTAAAAAGTACCTAATATGTAGGGTGTTCATAAAGTCACTTTACAATTTAAAAATATATTCCAAAGGCAACTGATTTGGCACCACAACTAGATGACCTTCAACCAACCATCATTTTCCAACAAGATGGTGCATCACCACATTGGGGACTGCATGTTCATGGGTTCCTAAATCAAATATTTCCAGGCAGGTGGATTGGAAGGGATGGCTCAATTTCCTGGTTACTTTGTTCACCTGATATCACTACTCTGGACTTTTTTCTGTGGGGTTATCTTAAAGATATCGCATCGAACAAAGATACGGGACATCACTGTTCTGAAGTAAAATATCATTGATGCCATTGCGAGCATTGATGAGGCCATGCTATGGCGAACATAACAAGTGTTGTAACCTAGAAAAGGTTACTGAATGAGGAATAACAAAACGGAGTTTGGAAATGAATTGGTAATCTTTATAAAATCAACAAAATACAATACTCGCCAGCGGCGTGAAGTAGGTAAACCACTGCTAATGGTGAACTACTTAGCATATTACCCACACTTACACTAGTGTCTAACGTATTTATGAGAATTGGGACATCATTAGTGTTCATAGGTACGGTATATAACACTTTCTTTCCTATTATATCAACACACACACACACGTGTATATATATATATATATATATATATATATATATATATATATATATATATATATATATATATATAGTGAACACTATAGTGAAGCAATAAAAGAGCACAAGCCAGGAAACGCAAACATCAGAGGTGAACTAATGGGAGAAAAGAAGAGGTTAGTAGGAAGAGAGAGAGAGAGAAAAAAAGAGAGAGTGCAGCGCAAGAAGACAAAAAATGAAACAGAGGAAGAAGCTAATTCAAGAAGAGAAAATATTAGAAAACGAATGGACGGACTTCTTTGACAAGAAACTAAAGAGCAACGCGACAGGAGGAGGAATGAGATTAATGGTTGCACAAGAAATGCACAAAACAGCGTTGTAACCTAGCAAAGGTTAACTGAATGAGGAATAGCCAAAATGGAGGTTGGAAATGAAATGGTAATCTTTATCACATCAACAAAATACAATACTCACCAGCGGCGTGAAATAGGTAAACCACTGCTATAGGTGGCCTTCTTAGACTGCATATTACCCACACCACTTAAAATAGTATCCAACGTATTTATGAGAATTGGGACATGCACATTAGTGTTCATAGGTACGGAATATAACACTGACTTAGATAGATAAATAATTAACAGTATGTGATAGATAGATAGATAGATAGATAGATAATGAAAAGACTGAATTTGGTAACTTAGAAAAGTTTACTGAATGAGGAATAGCCAAAACAGAGGTTGGAAATGAAATGGTAATCTTTATAATATCAACAAAATACAATACTCGCCAACGGCGTGAAGTAGGCAAACCACTGCTAGCGGTGGACTACTTAGCATATTACTCCCAACGTATTTATGAGGATTGGGACATTAGTGTTCTCACGTACGGCATATAACAGCAAGAAATCGAGTACCGTCTTGATGTGTTTCGTGCAACTAAAGGTGCCCATATAGAGGCGTATTAAATTAGTTTAAAAAAATTCAATATTTAATTTTGTCAAAATTTCCACATAATTGTCTTCTCATTTGCCTTTGTAAGAACTTCTTCAAATTTTAAGGAGACTTTATGGAGAGCCGTATATAACGACGAAGAATTAATGTTTTCCATGTCTGAGGGTCTTTTTTTGTTATAGCAGGGCTGAGTGAGATATGGTTTTAAGGTTGTGCCTCTTCTGGTCGCGCTGAGCGATTTTTTTTTTAAAGAGGAAGATAACCTTGAAGACCTTCTGTTACCATTTGTGCCTCTCGGAAGTCACTGTTAGGTGTTTGTGTGTCTGTGCACACGGGGCGGTGTGCGTGCGCGTGTGCGTCTGTAACGAAACTGCTAATAAAAACAAAGAACAAACAGCTAATACTACACGACATCCAAACGCAGCCAAATGATTATTTCCTTGGTGTCGAATAATAACATCTGGTGTCTGCAAATGCTTCATATGAAATGTCTGTAAACATATAAAAGATGCTGTTACACATGTATATTTGTCGTCGTGGATGCTGGAGCGGTATCGGTGGAGTGTGGGGGGGTAGGGTATTGTGAAGAGGTGTGTCGGTGAAGCGGGCAATACCTGGGTACGTATGGCAAAGAAGCGCCAACTATGTGAGGGAGGGAATGATTAGCAGAAATGGAGCTAATTCGGTTTGCTCAAACGTCATCTTCTTTTAACATCGCCTGCAAAAACAAAAACAACAACACCCCCCATAAAAAAAAAAAAAAAAAAAGAAAAGAAAAGAAAGAAAAAATAGCTAGGGTAATTCCCACCTTTAACTCATCTGTGTACCACTAAACAAACAAACAAACACGACAGGAAGAAATGGATTTTCGATTTACTTTCAACCGAATTTCTTCCGTTTCCTGCCCAGCCTTCGTCTTAAATAGAAAAAAAAATGGCGACAAAGTTGTTTCCATGTCTGAAAAAAGAATATATATCTATCTATCTATCTATCTATCTATCTGCATGATGCAATTTAGTTTTTAGGTATGCTATATTTAATGGTTAAAGTGCTCAACAAAGTGACAGAGCGATAAAAATATAAGATATACATGGCCTGACGATTGCGTATAAGTATGAAACAAATATATATATATATATAAATTCTATATATTCACTCAAATCTAACTATACATAAATAAATATTTTTTAGGAAATGGGTTAAATAAATCATATATATATATATATATATATATATATATATATATATATATATATATATACAGGGTTAGTGAAAATGAAGTTAACACTTAAAGTGTAGAAATCATTTATTCAAAAAACATACATCATATGTGCAAGATGATTTAACAAGTTAAAATAATTTTGACTAAACCTATATATATATATATATATATATATATATAAACAAATGTTTGGAGGTACAAAATTTATAAATAGTTTTAAAAACTAGGAAACCATTGATTTTAATATTAAAAGTCTCTAGAGCCCTTTCAGCCAACATCTCATCAGGAGACAATCGTTGGATTAGCGAAATGAATAATAGCGATATTGAAGAGCAAAAAAGAGGGGGAAACACACTAAAATAACGAACAAGTATATATACTTGTAACGAGGGAAGGGTTATCGTGTAAATAAATAGCGAGGGACAGTTAAAATAAAATATCCCCCAACAGATTCAGAGACCTTATAAATTCTTTCTGCCGGCAGAGAGAAGGTTTTCTAAATCCTATACAGACCGATTCCAAAATCTTCAAATGATTATTGGAATCGGCTGTATGAATAATTCTAAACCACTCTTTTTATACAACTTGGCATTAAGCTATATTCTCAACTAAATGTTGAGCAATAGCCGATTCCATATTCATGGGGGAAGATAGCATATTCTATCTATCTTACCAAGTCGTATTTTGGAAGGAACGTGCTGATTAATTCTAGTTTCCAAAAAAATAGTTTTTAAAACTATTTGTATATATATATATATATATATATATATATATATATATATATATATATATATATATATATAATAAAAAGACTTAAACACTAATATTCAATGGTTTTAATTTATTACATTGGAATTGTAATCATGATCTAATTTATCAGACCTACAAATCCAAAAAGAAATCAGAGAAAATAACTCCAGGAATAAAAATAAAATTTAGTGACAGCGTATATATGTATGAGAGTGAGGGATAAATGTGGGAGGTAAATGAAAGCTTTAGAGAGGGGTAACAGATGAGAGAAGAACAGGAAACGCCTAAAAGTGAAGGTGGGGATTAAAATTTAACAGAGCGAAGTTTTAAAAAGAGGGGTTAAAAGACGATACAGATAAATATGAATTGTTTTCCGATGCATTATTCATTACTGAATCGCTGACCTAAATTAAATTAAATTAAATTAAAAACCGACACCGGAAATGGGTGTATACATTTGTGGTGATACTACGCAAAATAAAAGACGATATAATCTAAACTTAAAAATCAGAAGAAGAGAGAGAGAGAGAGAGAGAGAGAGAGAGAGACAGAGACAGAGAGACAGAGAGACAGAGAGAGAAAAGAAAAGAAAAAAGGTGGAAGATATATATAATACATATAGTCAAACATATATTGTTAATTATAACAGGCAATGAATGTCTATTATGTTTGATCATGGGCTGTTCTAAACTTCGTATCGTTGCTTTAATTTCGGGTGAAAATATAGACAAAATTGTCCAACATTTGGATATATTTTTATTATGCTGTTTCTTGATTTAAGATTTTGGCTCACATGAGACGTCCAGTGTGGTTATACGGACATTTAAACAAAGTTATTCACCATCAAAGAAGATATTCCCTTATGTTGCCATAGAAGATTACTATGCGACGATAACGGTCGCGGAATAGCAGACGCAGGTCGTAAATTTATGATGCGGTTCTATGACGTCGTACCACGCGAGAGAAAGAAATATTAACAAAGAAGCCATATTTCTACATGCAATGTGTTGTGACTAGTTTGAAATGTAATTTTGTTAAGTGTGAGTTGCTTTGTCTTCATGTAGATGTCCTCCAATATCTGAAGGTTCTTTTTACTGTGTATGTGTGAGTATTATTGGCTTATCAACTAACATCTGTCTAATATTATGTACATGGCTATGGGTTTGTTTTTTTTAAAGAAAAGTTGTTTAATAGAACTAAGATCAGAAAGGTGACAGTTAAGTGTAATGTTTGGTTTGGATTGGTTTGTTTTACGGCATATCAATCTCAATGGGTTATTTAATGACGACAAAATCTATTTCTGGGAATATTTTTCATTGAAGAAATCTATAGCAGGTAATATTTTTTCAAAGAATGTATAGCTGTTTGTATTGCTCGTACTTTTTTGAAAGTATTGCTGATAATAAGTTTTCTTCTGGTAATATTTTTTTATTACAAAGTATTTCTGGTATTAAAACCTATTTTTACACAAGTTTGGATGTCAACTATTTGCCCATAGCTGAGACCCTAACAGGTGCTACCACCCTGGGTCAGGGTGGACCTAGAAATGCTAGCAATTAAGAGGTGGTTCCACGCTCCTCAAAACCTCCTGATCAGAGACCTTGCTGTTGGACGTAGTTTATCGTCTTATCCAGGACGCGAATGTAGTTTATCTTCATACCCAGGACGGTAAGTTTAAGTGAAAGTGTGCTTGTAGTAAAACCATTATATGCAGTGGGTTTATTATTAGTATCAGAGATACAATCTCTGAACGGGCATGTAAATTGATACATTATATATATATATATATATATATATATATATATATATATATATGTCAAGGTTGACAACGAGTGTTAATGCTTAAAATTTATAACACGTACATATATAATAATAAAATATAGTGTAAAATTAAATAATAATGCTAGCTATTATTACGGACTCTTAATAAACCTAAAATTATATGATTTAATTTATAGCGAAATGAACAGAATTTCTGCCAATGAAATACTCAATATTTGACGACATCAATAATTATTGAATTAGATCGAATAACGTTCAATACTTATTGATGTCGAGTCCAAGTTTCGTAATTTCGTGTGGACTTTCGTTAAGAATGGTCGCACTGATTACTGAAAATCTATTTCATTATTTTATAAACGCATAAGAAATAAAATAATGTGCTTCGATAAAGTTTATATTTGTTATTATATTTTTAATATAAAATATCTATTTTAATAATTTAAAATAAAATCAATATAACGACCATGTGGTGCTATTAAAAAATTACGACGATTTTTACTTGATACAAAAATCACGAGATTTTTAATTGTAAATTTGAAATATACTCTATCTTTCAAGTATATAGCATAATTATTTAGATAATTATAATGTATATAAGGTGTCTTTGTTGGTTCAATAAATTGGTGTGTCTTGCACTTCTAACCTGTTTGATTGAAACTTCAATGATGAAACTTTACTTGGATAACACGATTTTACAAGCTTTGATACTGTACCAGTTTCATTACATTCCATCATCATCATCATTATTCGACCGTAGTCGGCCGTAGTCGGCCGTAGTCGGCGAGCCAATGCAAACGATCCTTTCTTTAGCTGTATAGTACGCCATGGCGACATACAATTTTGAATCCTAGAGACTATAGAAATCAGTCTGTCTTGTTATTTATCTATAGCTTTAGAGAAGAAGAGGATTTTTACCGTTCCTAAAGGTATTAACACGTAAATGAAGATAATGGATCCGACTGGAATTTGAACTCGGCTC